TGTTTGACTTTGACTGTTGAGGCCCTTTCTATAAGTAAACTGCCGGTGGGGCCCTTAGTACCCAGTCCGACTCTGCCTACCTCTATCAAAAAGAAAAAGTTCACTGGAAAATTCCACCATTTATAGCAATGAAATATTTTTGATTTTTATAATTTTTTTTTTTCTACTTAATTTGTTTATTTATACGAGTATTCCAGATCGACACAACGTCTGCGTTCAGAATTGTTTTTCGTATACAATGATTTATCATTGAATTCAAATTCAAAATATTTATATTTATAAACATATTAAATGAAATATCGCTGCATTACTAATTATTTACAAAAAAAAATGTTTTAAAGTTGCGTTTCATAATTTAAATGATTTTTTTTTCTGAGTGCCATAAAATTATAAAAAACATAATTAATAAGTATTAAATACCTAGACATGAGAACCCGGGCATTTCCACAGAGTTCCCCCCCTAACACCATCGCTGTACTTATCTATATAGCCGTGATCGATTGCTAAGATTACGGAGTGGGGACGCTGCCAGTCAGCACTCAGCGTAGAATGTAAATTTACATGTAGTATTATTATATAATATATTGTATCCTACAATTTAATAATATACAGATATTTGGAAGGGGTGGGAGGCTTAAGTTCCCCTAGTATGTTTTATATTGATATGATATTATTAATATTTGTAATTTTTGACATTTTTATATTTATTTAAATGACAACATAATAATATGAAAATTATTAAATTATTAAAATAATACATCAACAAAATGATAAGTATAGATTAGGTAATATTTTCTCTTTGATAGACGGCAAACGGTAGTAATAAGTAATAACACAAATTACTAAATACATTAAATTTAATCTATTCTGTGGTAATAATTACTAATTAGTACCTAATTAAATAATTGCTGATCAGACTTCAGATATTCAAAAACAAATCTAAAATCAAGTTTACAATATTTTTATCAAATAATATCACTATTCGGCTAGACGTATCACACAAATCGAACTAATCGGTCGGTGCGTAACGTTTTTACGTTTAATTTCCATTGCATATGTTTCAGAGATTTGATGCGTATCAAAATATGGTTGTAAGCTATTTTGAAATGTTACTTATCAGTTATCACGAGTCAGTTTAGGATTGATATTAGTGATATTACTAATTTATAGTACCAGTAGTACATGGTAGTACTATGGTAGTACCTACTTCGTTCAACTTTTGAATTCTTTAATTCTTATCATTACAGTTAAAATTTGTTTCTTCTTTTCTTGTTCACAATATTTATACAAATCTAGTTGTTGTTTGCTCAATAAATCATAAATGTTTTAAAACTTATATTTTCCTAGAATTCTAGATGAAGTAACTTAATTTCTTAATATTTTCTAATCAATACTCTACATTTATTTCAATTTAATATTCATGTATTGTTATTATAATAGCATTTGAATGAGACAAATGAATAGAGATGAGTCAAGAAAAGATATGTGTCAAACTTCCAACAACAGATAAAAAAGTGACACTTTTAAAATGGCGAGTAAAAGAAGGCACTTTGGTAAACAGCACTGTTGTTGTACTTCTTTATCAAGAGGACGGAGACAAAGATCGGAAAAGTTTTCGCACTCATCACGTTGGTGTTGTTAAGAAAATCTTAATACACGAAGGCCAAGAAGTTCCTGCAGGGTAAGAATTACTCCGATTAAATGTTTATATACTTTCAAAGATACCCACCTAATAATATTAAATACATTTCTAACATTGGACCTGTTTAATAATTACAGACTTAACAATTATATTTATTATTCTTACATATTTGTAGATATCCTGTATTTGAGTTGGAGCCTGGTTGTAGCCACAGTACTGTGGTCAGTGATTTATGTGCAGATTGTGGTGCCGATTTAAGAATTGACAATGCATCTAAACCAACTGCATCTGTTTCTATGGTACACAGTGTACCTGACCTCAAAGTCAGCGAACAGGTATATTATATACATTTGTTACTATTTTATTCATTCAATTAAAATTTGAAAGTTTTAATTTATAAATTTAATTTTTAGAGTGCGTTGTTATTGGGTAAAGCTGATGAAAAACGTTTGCTTGGTGATAAAAAACTGGTGTTACTCGTAGATTTGGATCAAACACTAATACACACAACAAATGATAATATACCTAATAATATCAAAGTATATATTTTAACATATTATTTGTGTAGCTTTATAATTAGTTAAATATTGTGTATCCTCGAAAACTGGGTACACTCTATAACTAGTTACCTATAATACTCAGTAGGTACCCTACTACCCTAACCATATTTTAGAATTCTGTCTGCGGGAGATTGATCCAATAGTCTAGTTTAATGTCCCATAAACAGAATTAAAAAATCTTTAGTGTACTGAGTAATTTGGGTCATTTAATTATACAGTATACACGTTTTCGAGGAACACATGGTATATTAAATATTAATTCCTTCTATATTTGCATAGGATATTCATCATTTTCAACTTTATGGACCAAATTCACCTTGGTATCACACAAGACTTAGGCCAGGAACATACAACTTTCTGTCCTCTATTAGTGAATTATATGAACTTCACATCTGTACATTTGGTGCTCGAAACTATGCTCACACTATAACTCATATACTGGATCCAAAAGGAAAGTTGTTTTCTCACAGGGTTTTATCACGTGATGAATGTTTTAATCCAAACAGTAAAACTGGAAATCTCAAGTATGTTTATCACATAAAATGAAAATATATTATTGTAAAATTTATATTAATGTTAAGTTTCATTTTATTGCTAGGTATCTCATCGTATGTGCTTTACTGTATGTTATGTTCTATTTATTTTCAAATCACATTTGAAACGACTTAGGTCTGTTCCATATTATGATAATTTTGCAATTAATAAGCTTGGTTAACAAAACAAAAGTATATTGAAAAAATTAAAAATGTGTTTATGCTTTATATTATAAACTTTCAGCTTTAGCTGATCCCGTGCACTTCGTTTCCCATTAAATGTACCAACTCTATATGACATAAACTTTGTTCAATTCACTATTTAATATTCGGTGTATGGTGTTCAAAATGTATCTTAACTTTTCCATTGCCTGGAATAAAAATTTTGATTGCAGCACTATTATCAGGTAGGCAATCTACCTGCGGTAGATCGCAGATCCCGTGCTGTTTGTACGTAAGTGTATGATTTAACTATAAAGTATCAAAGTTATACCAAGTTTGTCGTATTTCACCTATGGTCGATTAATATAATCAATAAATACAAAATCCTAACCTAACCGTACTAAAATCCAATGAATAAAAAAAAAAACCAAATTTAACCATTTTTAAATTAGCCTGTCTTCTTCCCAGAGGTCTAATCTACACACAAATGTTCATTATAATATATATATTGACAAAAAATAATCATTTTTATAAATATAGATAATATATATATTTAAGAGGATGTCAGCTCACTATTTGTATACACATATGTATATTGACAAAAAATAATCATTTTTATAAATATAGATAATATATATATTTAAGAGGATGTCAGCTCACTATTTGTTTTCTCTCTCTGGCCCACACGCAGCATAGACAAAATGCATTAAAGCAGAATCATTTTTCTATGTTTTTAAGTAGGTAGTCTTAGAGTAAAATCACTCGTTACAAAAAAAATAGAGAATAATTTTTTTGAGGGAATGACGTCGACTTTATATTTTATTGTTATTTGACTTTGTATTTGACTTTCAAAATAAACAAAAAAATGTTGTAAATTTAAATTATGTTTAACTTGTTTCGAGACAATATTTAGGCAAATTGATAAGTCATTCCCTCAAAAATATTATTCTCTATTTTTTTTCTTAATAGGTGATTTTACTCTAAGATTACTTAAAAACATAGAAAAAATGATTCTGCGTAAATGCATTTTGTCTATGTTACTCGCAGTGGTTAAAGTGGAAAATAATTGCAGGGGGGACTAAAGCTAATGCAAAAAAAAAGCGTCCCCTTAACCAATTTTGTAGCCAAGGGTAAGGCGCATCTCCCCCCTGATTTTTTAAAATTATACTTTTAATCTATGTTATTGTTGACCTAATTTTTAAAATTAATCACGTACATATATAGTATGTATATTTGTATACACCTATTATTATTATTATAGTATACATATATACTCAGATTTAAAATTTTTTTTATACTTTTAAATTTTAATGTAGGTATTAACATTCAGTTTTTATGATTAAATGAATATTTTAACCGTCCCCCCGGAAATTTAACTAAAGGGGACGCAAAACTAAAGCTAAGCAAAGAAGGGGAACACTGTCCCCCTCCATCTCCCCACTTTAATCACTGGTTACTCGTGGTCTGGAGGGCAGAAAGAGATAACAAATAGTGAGCTGACATCCTCTTAATCAATGATACCGCTTACTTACAGTAGATTACCTAAATTCAGTATTTTTATATAATGCATCATATACTTAACATAAGGTAAAATTAGTTCTTAAAATGTTAACCTCATAATTTTATTCAATAATTTTGAATGAAGTATTAGCTACATATTTTTTGTTGAATTAAAATATCACAATGTTAAATGAGAAAAATTCCTCAACATGTTAAACATTACATACAATTGACAGAGTAAAAGAAATAGAAATACTTGTTTGACTTACAAACCAACAATATTATTTTATATTCACCGGTTATAACTTATACAATATTATTATGTCCACCAGGTTACTAAAAAGTTTTAAAAAAAATCAAATTTAAATCTAATACCTGTAGATATAAGTGTAATCATAAGGCTTGTAAAAATATATCAGTAAAATATAGTTTTTTTATTATATAATATACAAATATATTTATTATACTTATATAATATAAAATCTATATTGTACTGATATTTTTCTATTTTTCTATAATAGAACTACAAATATTTTTAAATTATGTATAACCAGTGGCGAAACCAGGGGAAAAACTTGACCCCCCCTCCCCAGAAATGTTTGTGGGGGAAAAAGTGTCATTTAGCCCCTCCAAATAATCCACATTTAAAAGGTATTCTTAACAAGAATGTTAACATAATATTAATATAGGGGGACGAGGTGGCCGAGCGGTCTTAGGCGTCGGTTACGGCGCAGCCATCGCCGGTTCAATTCTCGGCCACTGGGCGGCATTTTTCTTGGGGTAAGTCACGGTGTCACGGTGCCCCACCCGGGGTATGGCAGAAACCTACGGATGCCCCACTAGAAATTCTGCCCCAACACACACACGTGTACCAAACCTATCCAATACAACAACTCACTATTCCACCCCCACCCAATGGCCTGAGTTGCCGCAGGTCATCTAATAAAAAATATTAAAATATTTTTTTTCTCAAATTCCTTTGTAAAAGTTTATACTTATTTTAGTTTTCTCTTGTTGAATAATATTATGTTGACGTATTGTCAGTGTTACTGTTATTGCAACAATCGCATTATTCGTGAACACTTGATTATCTTGAAATCGCGATTATGACTACAGGAACGGCAAATTGGGAGGTTAATTTTTTTGCCCCCCTAGATTTTTATCCAGTTACGCCACTGTGTATAACAATTAATAAATATTATAATATTATATATTATATTGCTTTATACTCATTTATTATTTAATTTAATTCAATTTAATTATTTATTGATTATTCTAGGGGATTGTTTCCATGTGGTGATAATATGGTATGTATAATTGATGATCGCGAAGATGTCTGGGATTATGCTTTAAATTTGATACACGTCAAGCCATATCATTTTTTTCAACACACTGGTGATATAAACGCCCCTCCAAATTTACAAAAAAATGTTGATATTTCTTTACAACAGGATAATAGAGTGGATTTTACACATTTAGTTCAAGGTAAATTTATTTTATTATATTACTTGCTACCTTAATTGATTTAAATACATACATTTTTATTGTATTACATCAATTAAATATTACTATACCTTGTTGCAAAAGAGAAGACACCAGGCGGCCACGGGCAAACCGGTTTTGCTTCTTAAAATTGGTATCTTCTCTTTTGGAACAGGTTATAGAGTCCGAATTAATATTATGTTAAAATTATTAAAATATGATGTTAATATATAGCACAATTTGAAGAAACGTTCCTATTAAATATTCTAAAAAAAAAATGTATTGATTGTTATGAATTTCCTTAATCATAATTCACAAGCAAAATAATAAAATCTTAAATACTTTATTATTTATTATTTTGTTAAATTAAACATGCAATATGATTTTGATTATTTATATAAAAACTAGCCACAGTAAAATGGTTTTTTTATATTCTTTACGTCATGCTAAAAGATATGCCCAAAATGTTCAGCTGATAAAATACCAACTATAAATTAGCAAAATAACGCCCATAAATGTCAGTAGTTTCTTCAACCGAAAACGTGATATTAGTGTTAATTAATTTTCTAAATTCTAATATCGTCTAAATGTAACATGGTTCTAGATAATGCTTACGTAAGATGCTCTCATCAGGGATGTGTCGGCCAGTGTACTTTTCCAAAAATCCTAAAAGTAATGATAGGTACTTATAATTTATTTCATGGAATATTTGCTACAACTAAACTTTTGCATAATATTCTTCAATAAATCGACTTTCGGTTTACTTTCAGCAAAAAATACTTGTTATTTTAACTGGGTAGGTATATAATATATTGGTCGGCATTCCGATTATATTATGGTAATAATAATTGTAGATAATAGATAAGACACGACATTGTGTCGTATTTATTCTATTATTATTTATTGGTGTATCGTGGTCTTGTTGGTATAATATCAGTATAAAAATATATCTGTTTAAGAATAATTTATGACAGGTAATTATTGAATCGGTGAGTGGTGACTATAAACTAAAACTAAACTAAAAACTTGTGTCCTACTAGTCCAATATGGCTGAAATATGCTAAAATATTCTCTTAAGACAAAATATGCACTAATACGCAAACAATTTTTATAATAGATTCTACAGATTATGAAATGCAAACATTTCTTACTCCCATTAAACAGTATACGCTAGTTTAAAATATGTTTTTGCATACAAATCCGGACTCTAGTTATTACTTACTACTTAACTTCTTGTTTGAAAAATTTTAAAATACTAATTATTAAATATGTATTGAAACAGGTATAACTATTAAAAAAAAAGATAACATAAAAGGTGATCCACAAATGGAAGATGGAGAAGTTTTGTCTGACGATGATTCAGGAAATACAACAACTGATAATGAAGAAAAAAATAAAAATGATGTGGTAATTAAAGACAGTAGTGATCAAGTAGAAGTAGAAGAAGAAGATGATTACTTGTTATACTTGGAAGATATTTTAAAAAATTTGCATAAGGAATACTTTAAAGAATATGATCAAAATTATGAGTTGTACGGAAATAATTTTGAGGTTCCTGACATGAAGCGTATCATACCTACTTACCGTTCAAAAATACTAGCTGGTAAAAAGCTAGTATTCAGTGGCTTAGTGCCTACTCCTGTACCACTGACTGAAAGTCGAGCTTATAAAGTGGCTCGATTATTAGGTGCAGAAGTCACAGAAAATATCAAACCTGACTCTACGCATTTGGTCGCTGTTCGTCAGGGCACACTTAAAGCTAGTGCAGCCCGTAAACGCCCCGATATAAAAATAGTGACACCTGAATGGTTGTGGCTTTGTGCAGAACGTTGGGAACATGTTGAGGAAAGATTATTTCCTCTCCGATCAGAAGGTGGGGGTGGTTCTAGTAGTCGAGACCCACCAGCTCATTGTAGTAGTCCAGAACACTCACCACATTTTATGGCCAATAACCAAAATGTTTCTCATGTAAATAAAGAACAGGACCAAAAATTTGCAGAGACTCTTAATCCACTACTTTCGTTTTCTGATGAAGACATTAAACGTATGGCAGGAGAAGTAGAGGACATGACCGATGATGAAGAAAGTTGTGATGGTGATGATGTGCCTGATATAATTGATGTATTAAAAATAAATAAAGATGGAAATTCAAGTTCAGAAGCATCTTTAGACGGTAAGAGTTTCGTTATCAATTGGTTTCCATAGATTGATATATCATTTATTCCTTTTTAAGATATGTCCATGTTTTATGTTTTATGCTGATGTTTTGGATCCATTGCAAGTTTGATCTTCAGATTGTGTGTTCACCATTTTGCTGTTATGAACATACATCTACTGAGTATGAAATTTATAATACGTCTGAAACATTAGCATAAAACTGAAGATATGGATATACGCTAAAAGAATAAAAATTAGCGTTTTATTGTGTAAACTTGGGTCTAGTATAGTATAGATCAGAGATGGCTTGTTCAAACTTCCTTAGTTGTATTTAATGAAATAATTCTTTACAAACATACAACTGTGACAGACTATTTTCCTAAATCAATGAACTTAATCAAATCAAAACATAGAAATAAATAATAATACATTGATGGATGAAGCTAATGCTGCTTGCCTATCAATAAAATATTTAAATTTCTATATACACCTGATATTAAAACATGTTGTGAATCTTTTTAAAACAACTTGACCCCAAGAAAACATTTTGTAGGCGTGTGAAACTTTTTTAAAACTATTGAAAATGTTTGGCATGTGATTTAGATTATAGAGAATATTATTTTTTTTTTTAACATCACATTTGCTTATATATTTCATTACAATTCTTATGTGTAGAATTAAGATTATATTTTATACATTTCTATACATTACTTAAAAGTAAATAGTAAATATAACACATTTTGCTTCAGGTTCTAGGAGAGGAAATAAACGTCATTTCAGTTCATCAGAATCAACCGATAATGAAGATGAAGTAGAAAAAGAAATAGAAGGTGAAACATTAATTGAACGATTCCGAAAAAGTAAAAATATAGATGAATTAGTCTTGAAGTAGTGTAAAAATAGTGAATATAGTATAAATTTAAATTTATGATATTCGCTATTTAGATTAAAGTTGCTATATCAGTATGCATATGACCATAGAACAATTTGACAGTAGTACATCATACTGTTGTAGGGAGGATTATACAAGACTTTTTTTCTCCATTGATTTTTAAAATTTAAATTCAATGGTTTTACATTTTAACTATCAATTAATTATTTATCTCATTTATTTAGTAATTTCTTTCTTTTCTTGGATGATATAAAGGATATCAATTTGGGTTATATGATATGAATACAAATTTTTGCCACCAAACTAGTGAACTCTCTGCAATACATTTTTTTTTTGCATAAAATATGGATTTTCTTACATGAAATTAATAGATTGTTTTCATATTTTTCTAGATATGGATGTGTTTATTGTATATATACCTATTTATGATTATTTAAATGTTCTTGAAATATATATTTATTAAAATAGATAATACATGATAATTTTGAATAAAATAAATGATTTTTACATACTATACTTAGCCCTATTAAATAATATTATTTAACATAAGTTTAGTTTATTTATTAATTCAGATTCCTTTTAATGATATCAGCTGTTGTACAGTCCATTTTTGATAACTCGAACCTGAATAACTTGAAAACCTTGATAACTCAAATTGTTTCCTACCCTTTGAAGGGTTTTTAAGTTGTGTTTGATGTATATATCTAGAAAAATACATACGTTGAATTTATTTTAATTCCCCTTCATAATTGAGTTATTGAGACTCAACTGTATATGAATACAATAACTAATAATGTATTAACAATAAACATGGACATTCATTAATATGTATTTTTACAGTAGGTACTCTAAAATAATAATAAATATATAGATTTATACATTAAATTCATTCATATTGTGAAAAAAATATAATATTCATCATATATTTTCAAACTATGTCCATCTATATTGCGTAGATAAATTTAATTAATTTTTAAATTGGGAAACTTAGTGGAGGTGGTATAATAAAATTATTAGAAAATTAAGTTTATTCATTGTCAATAAAATAGTTTTTACTTTAGGTACTAGCAGAGGACAGAAGCGTAGGCGCAGTTCATTGGATAGTGACGGAAGTGAAGAAGATAATGAAACATTAAATGAAAAATTTCGTCAAGGTAAAAATTTAGATGATTTAGGCGTAGAATGGGGTAACAATAGTGAAAATAGTGTGGACCCACCTGAAGAGATGAATGATTCTGACTGGGGTAACAATAGTGAAAATAGTGTGGACCCACCAGATGAGATGAATGATTCCGAATGGAATATGTTGGGCGCTGCTTTAGAAAAAGAATTTTTGGAAAATCAATAATTTAAGCATAAATGTTTCTTCACATTTAGTTGTATAAATTGTACATATCATAAATTGTATAAATGTCCTTTGCTAAGTTTTTTTTTTAAATAATAAGTATAATATTCCTATTTGGTTTGTCACTGTATACTTTGTTTTTGGGAGTTCATTATCTGTGATGTATACCTTTTATGCTTATTATACTTGTAATAAATAATTATTGAATAAAACAAAGTTTTATCATATTATTTAGCTATCTTTCAATATTATAATGACTTTCTGTATTTCATTTTTTATTTGTATATAATAAATTAAATTGTAGGTTAATGCTAATAACCACAGATTTTGAAGTTTTAAAAAAGAAAATAATAATTAGGCACAGCAAGATGATTTTTAACTGTCATTTAAACCTAATTTTTATTTGAAAACTCAACTGTTAAACTGTTTGTACCAGAAATTTATGAAAACCTACTTGTTATTTATAACGAGTGAATAGTAGAACTAAGGTAATAATTCAAAATAAGTAAATGATTAATTTTTTAAGGTTGTTAAAAACACTACAATAGTACTGGTACATTCAACATTTCCTTGAAATTTTTTTTGCTTTGCGGTGAAGGTAATCTAACACAAGGCTCACTGATGTTTGCCTAAGCTTAGCTGGTAGATATGTAGGTAGGTGTACCTGAGTACATGATTACATTTGTTGTATAATATAATTTTGCAAGATCATGGTGGTAACTTCAAAGGAATTTTAGGAGTTCTTAACCCCTTCAAAGTGTTGTACATTATTAGTATACTAGGTAATTACCTATTTTAATTAATAAATACTAAGGTATTAGATGAAGTATAAAAAAAAAAAAAAGAATTAAATTGAAATTTTTTTTAAAAAGTTGTGTGTATGAAAATGTCTGAAATAGTATATTGTATATTGCATTTCGCACAAAACTGAAATGGCTCACTTCCCGCCCTTGCCACACATACTATTTTTTGTAACGCCTATAACGATATGTGCGCCCTGCAATTTTGGTGATTTCCACTATACTGCCCGTCGGTGGACGGAAAAAGGACGCTTTCGAACGCTTCAACCGCTATCGAAAACCAAACTTTCGGTGCAGGTGTGACAAAAAAATTATTACGATTTCAATTATTAAATTACTTGATTTTATTATATTTTATTTCACATGAACATAAACTTTTGGATTAGGAGTATGGTGCGGTAGAAATATTAAAAATTACGTTTATTTTAGATTCTAACTGATTGAGAAAAATGTATTGGTTTTACTATGAGTAACCGGTTGGTATGTTTTCTTGTGACTGGCAGAAAACATTGTCTGTTTCAGTGAAATGATATACAATAAAAAAAAAAATAATAAATAAAAGCAGTACCTATCACCATAAATTTATATTTCACTTATTTTTATGATACTTATTAGTTATTACTCATTACCTTCCTACTTTATTTATTTTATATGTCTAGGATCCAATTAAAAATATATTGGAACATTAACCTAATGTAAAGTAGGTATATATAATACTTAAAATTAATTGGAAGTTTAGAACAAGCTGTTATTTACAACAATTTCCAATCACGCACTCTCGGCCGATGAATATTAATTATACCTATACCTATATATACAATGTACATTATACGAATATAGATATATATATTATAGCCATACGGCTGTATCATGTGACATGCATGCAATTTCGTTTAATTTGTCTGCATTAGGTACCTATTACTTATATAATAATAATTCTTTATTCGTGAAAATAATATTTTCAATATGGCTATGTAGGTACTAGGTAGGTACTAGGTATACACAAATCGAGTGATATTTTTGAATTAAACTGTCCAAGGGAGCGAGTGACCCGGAACAGACAAAAAAATTGATTTCTACCATGTACCCTGTGGGCTGTTACCAACTTCTAGATGGCTTAGCATAGCAATCTTCAAATGTTCTAGAACCTCCAATATCAAGAAAATTCAAAATGTATAAGGGGATTCCATACTGACCGTTTTTAAGGAGTTGAGTATAGGCAATTTTTAGACAATCTGTATAATACGTACGTGTACATGTGTGTGTGTAGTAAATGATCATTAATTTGAGTGACTGACGGCGAGCTAGATAAGTGGATGCACATGTCACATTATGCATAACAACAAATTTATTTCATGGCGAAATGTTGTAAAACATGAACCTAAACGAATTCCAACATACCGACTTGAGTCTTACACCGATAATAATATTGAAAACAAATTTTGTTTTGTTGTTCAATCAACTTTGGATCCTTCGAGCTACATTTTTAATTTATTGTTCTTAAAAAGAAAAAACCTCACATGAAATTTAGAAAAAAACTTGTATTCTTAAAAATTTCAATGGACATAAATAGTTTTAAAATTTTTGTTTTATTAATCTGACTCGAAGGATTCAAAATAGACTTCATAATAAATTCAAATATGTTTTCAAAATTATTATTTGAGAAAAACTCAAGTTAGTTGACTCAACGCTTTAGGTCTATTTTACTGTAAAAAGCGGTAGTGTGGAATCCCCTTAATATAATATAACACTAATATAAACTGTCCTTACAGAAATAGACGATAATACATCTGCAGTCTTTTTTCGTCAGAATAATTTTTCAGACTTAGGTATTGAATACTTTCAAATTTGGGTTTACTGAATGTCTGAATTACTTCAGTGGCTATCTCAATAGGTAAGTAAAAGAGAGTTCTCTTTTTTTTGATTAAAATTTAATGGTTAGGTAAATTAAATATTTTTAGAGGTAGGTAGGTACGTAATCAATAGAGGAATACCTATTGTAGTTAAATAATAGGGTTCCTTCTTATTTTAAGTTAAACATTTTTAAATAGTTATAAACGTACCTATCTAACTAGTAACTGTTTAAATTTTAAACGGATACCTACTTTTTTATTTTGTACCTATTTATTTATAGTATTATATTACAGGATCTACATGACTACATATAGACGTAGGTTAGGTTATATATATAGGGACCTATATTTAGTGTATTATTTAATTTATATGGCAATAAATACAAATATCTAGTTAGAATGAAACAAACAAATCATCAATCATTATCCTGATGTATCGATATCTGGTAGTTGAGTTACCTATGAAAGTTGTTCGATTATTATTATTTTCAAACTGTTGATTTTAAGTGAAAAACAAACGAACCGTTCTTCACAAAACCGATACTGAGGAATCGAGGAAAAATAGATACCGCTAGCTGAAAATGTCTGTACTTACTACTTAGCCCAGTAGCCAGTAGCCACACAGGTCTTATGGTATAATAAATAATAATATAATATGAATATCATACTCTCTAAAATAAAGATTGTCTGAGGAAAAAAGTCCCCGTATAATGGCTATTATATACTTTTTCCCTCGTAACATAGATACTAGCTATAATTATAGTCTCGAAGGTAGGTATTTATTTTGTTTTGTCAGTACCTAGATACGTTGTACAAACAGCCTGAAAATAATTAAAACTGTTTTGACGTTTAAAATAGTACAGCGGCAACAAGTCCGGAACAGTATAAATGAGCCAAACTGTATCTATAGGTATAGGTAGTTACTTATTTATCACAACTTCAAAAGACGGACAATTTATATTAAAAGGTGTTAAACGAGAAATTGAAATTTGTCTGCGCATAGTGAGATATGTACTTATTAGGTCGTTAATTAATAAAATCATAATAGAATTAAAATGTTTTACGTAGGTGGTAGGCAAACATTTTAAACGTGGGAGCGGTAGTCGCAGTTAGTTTTTAGTAAAATTAATGTTAAAATATAATATATCAAAACTTAATTGCTACCTACTATTTCTACAAATGGAAAACGAATTTGTTTTTAATTTAATGATATGATAATAATTATAGTTGCTTAATTTAAGTAGAACTCGAGCTTGTGCTCCTCTTTTCATATTATTAACCTAAATGCCATTTGAGTGTTTTACTGCGTCTCCCTTTATTTAACGTGCCTACATATAATAATAAATATTAAATAATAATACTAGGTAGGTATCTAAATACTAGGTATTAACAAACGCGTAGGTACCTAATAAATGTGTAAAATAAAACACATTTTATCTAGAGGTAACCATAATATATATAGCCATACAGGTATATTTTGAATAGAATCATATATCATAAACAGTAAGTAGGCGACAAAAGCGTAGGTATTTAAAAAATGAAAAATGAAAATGAAGATTTGGATATAATATAGATTAGGTAGGTAAAGGTATTGTATAATAATAATACTGTTTATATATTGTTTTGCATACAATTAAAAATTTTTTAAACTGAAATAAAATATGGTATTTTGGCTTTGGGAGGAGGTAGTAGTAGTGATGATATAATATATATTTATCCAGAGATCACTAAATCAAGGGGGCTCACCGGGTGTAATTATAAATCTCGTTACCGGTGTTACCTGCAGAGAATATAGTTTAATATGTTTTGGCGTTTTGCTAACACAAAATAGTACCTATAATATATATTACCATTAAAGATGTTATATTTTTAATTAATTTAACTAGTTAGGCTACATCTATTATAGTAAATTATATAAATTATTAATTAAATTATTGTTTGACATTTTGTCCTCTCTCGTAATCAAAACATTTGAACGTTAACACTACCTATAGTAGGTATATACTAAGGATGCGTGTATTTTCTGCATTATAGAAGCAACCATATATGCGAATATATTATGTATAGGTATATAGGTACTTATATATATGTATACATATATACGTAGGTACAGGGCTGAATTAAGGGGGGGGGGGCGCTGGGTATAACTGCCACGGGAGCCAGTATTTTAGGGGCGCCAAAATTGTATGGTCAGAAATTTGTTTACTTGTGAATTATTAAAATTTTATACTTTTAACTATTTTAATAATAGTATTATATATATATATTATATATAATATTTTACTGTTTGAAATTTTTTTAACTAATATTAATTTGCATGGTTTTATATAATTTTATTTTATTTATTCAT